TAGAAAAGGTACAGTACAAATATGGCATGAAAGATAAACATGATATGCCTTTAGAGGGCACTTATCATGAATGGAGTTTACAGAACTGGAAATTGCTCTGGGTGAGTGAAGAGTGAGTGGTCAGTGATGTGAAGGCCTAGCACATTACTGTACAATACTACAGACTTCATAAACATTGTCCCACAAGCCTTCTGCCTGCGTCCTCTGGCAAAGTTGGGAATAGAACATTGAAGCTGTCTGTGCTACTCTATGGCTAGGGATGTGGACTGGATAGATTAGAAATATTGAGGAGAAACTGGCTGGGTAAGGCGTATTTCTCTTATGTGCCACTGACGTGGCTCTGACTGCTCATGATCCTATCCATGTGTGATGCCCACGATGTCCTGTTCTCAACAGCCCTGCTCAGCTCCTGCGGACTCATGCCTATGGCTTTTTTTTATGGAGTCAATCCATCCCATATTTGATCTTCCTCTTTTCCTGCTGCCTTCTATTTTCCCAGCATCTCGGTCTTTTCCAAAGAACTCTAATTTCTCATGATGTGCCTGAAATAGGGTAACTTAGTTTGGTCATTTTGCCTCCAGGGATATTTCAGGTTTAATTTGCTCTAGGACCCACTTTTTCATTTTTCTGGAAGCCCAGGGTATCTGTACAGCTCTCCTCCAACACCATATTTCAAATGAATCAAGTTTTTCCTATCAAACTTCTTCACTGTCCACCTTTCACATCCGTACATAGTAATAGGAAATATGAGGGTATGAAAGATCTCAGTCTTGGTCACTAATGACAATCTTTACTCTTAGTGATCTCTCTGAATTCTTCCTTTGCTGTCCTTCTCAGCCTTCTCTTGGTTTCCTGGTTGCAGTCTCCATTTGAATTGATGACAGAACCAAGGCAAACAAAAATATTTGACAATTTTGACTCCTAATCAAATATGTTAAAGTTGTATAGTTCTTTTGTAGTTAGCACGTATGTCTTCTTGATGTTCAAATGCAGTCCTCCTTTGGCACTTCTTTCATCTTGATGAGAAGTTGTTTCAAATCATTGCTACTTTCTGCCAGTAAGACCCTGTCATCTGCATATCTTAGCAGGAGGGCATGGATCACCATAATAGTGATTGTCTGGAGGGGATCAAAGGTTGTCTGAGGGTCGGTAGGAATAAGAAAATCAAAATGGTGAGATAAAGGAACACGGGACTGTCATGACCATGTAGTTTTGGCTGTTATATATTGGAACAGTGGTCAGGTTAAGGAACTTTGTGATATTAATAATAAAAAAGAGGGTATTTAACATGGAGAGAGTATAGAACTGAGGACCCAATATTAAAGCCGATTAAATTTTTTGGAAATTTGTTTTTGTTCCATTGACCCTACCTGGCACAAAGGGGGATAAATAAAACCTATCTATGATTCACATCATTACAACCTGAAAATAGTTCCAAAGTACAGGTACAGGCTGGCTCCATTTTGTCACTGAGAGCTTTTACTAAAGTGGCAGTGTCACTTAATACTTGTTAAGGTAGCTCTTATGAACCTGTGTCCTTCTATAGGATCTTAGTTCCTCAACAAAGAATTTACATCCATATACTCTAAACACCATCAAACTATGCCTGGGAAGCTATGGGACCTTCTGACTATGTAGTGTTGTGGGGGGAAGGCTCTTCTGTGCTGAAACAGGTCAGTGGCTGACTGATTGGAATATAATCTGTGCACTCAAAATTTAGGTGCTATCAGAATACATTGCCAAACCCCTCAGGTATTGCTCCAATTAAAGAAAAAAATGTTTGTCCTGACCCACAAATCCTTCAGTTTTTTTACAGGAAATTCAGCTCTCTCATAATCTTGTGTGACCACCATCATATATGTGGTCTGTCATTGAGTGAACTGTTGTCATATGGTGCACGACTGTATTTCACCTTTAAATTTTAATAAGTGTACTATGCTAATTAGAACAGACATCCTTCTGAATAACCTTCCGGACGAAGCTGGGGCTGCAAGGGAAGCCCAGGTCCTGGGTTCCAGAGGGAAGCTGGTGCTAGCAGCCAGGAGAAGGAAGGCCTACTCTTGCACAAATTCGAGCACTGGGCCTCTAGTTGTTTAATAACCACTATTTCAAGTATTTGTCTTTGACATTAAAGATTACAAGCCCCTGAGAGCAAGGATTATGTTTTCTTTATAGTTCATTTCCCCAGCCCCTAGCATAATGAATGGTGCAGAGAAAACATTTAATAATGTTAGCTGAATAAATGGGTGGGTGAATTAATTGCCAGTTAAATTACTTGTGGAATACCTCTTGACTACAAGACTATTCAATATTTTTCATTCATTCACTAATCAACACTTTACTGAGTGCCTATTATGAGCCGGGTGTTTTGCTAGTGGAGGGTATGAAAACTTGGATAAAATCATTGGAGTTTTTACCATCATACAAATAAAACTCTAAAATTAAGTATTTCTTTTATAAGTTTAACAATTTTGAAGGGGGATAATCTTGTTACCTCATAATTTTGACTAAAGCCTCACTCTTAAGGGAGACTACATACACATTTGCATGCAGGGTGCAGGACATTCCTGAGAAAGTAAAAGCTATTTAGAGACCTTTATACCCCTAAACTCTGTATTATTGCAGCCGACTAGACATTTAAAAGTAATTAATTGAAATAATGTACATGCCTTCTCTGTAAAGTTTGTTGCCACAGGCACTGGAGTATCTTTACAGTCAGCATAGTGGAGCATCTGTGTTTGTAAATTAAAATGAGTATATGTGTATGTGTGTGTGTGTGTGTGTGTGTGTGAGTGTATGATTAATGCTTTATTTTCCATGACTCACTTTTGATCCCATTTTCTTTTCTCACTTGTCATCTATATGAGTCACATCTCTTCACAGTCAGCTGAGAGCCAACCATGTTTAATAATAGCCTTAGAAAAAAATACATGTAGGAAGATAAACCTGCTGATGGCAAAAAGATAACCCCTATGAGTTCAGAGCCCAGTATAAAGTGATTTTTGACCCTAACTGGTTTGGTTCAGTGGACAGAGCGTCAGCCTGCGGACTTAAGGGTCCCAGTTTCGATTCCGGTCAAGAGTATGTACCTTGGTTGTGGGCACATCCCCAATACGGGGTGTGCAGGAGGCAGCTTTTCGATGTTTCTCTCTCATCAATGTTTCTAACTCTCTATTTCTCCCCCTTCCTCTCTGTAAAAAATCAATAAAATATATTTTAAAAATAAAATGATTTTTTAATAACCCCTCGTTTGGTTCCTGATTATCTCTACATGCTAAGATCACTGATAAATGACAATTTATTTAGCAATAGTTTTAACCATTGATATAAAAACAAAGTAGCTAATAAGAATGAATAACACATTTTTAAAAACCCAAGCTCTCACTTTGAAAATAAAAGGCTAGTATTTTCATAGCGATAAGTGGTTGGAGACTAAATATCTTATTTTTGACATTATCTGCTTACAATTTGTCACCAATAACTTAGCTGTCTATTAAATTGTAAAATACATGGTTGTGCATTCTGGGGTTGAATAATTGCATGGCATGCAGTGATGGCAGTAACTAATAACTAAAGAGAAATAAGCAAATGAACTGGTTTGGGAGGGAGAACATTGTGGATTAGAATTTCTAATAAATAAAATTGATTTGTGATTTTATAGCTGAATAAAAGGCTGTTAGTGTTTCTAACAACTCTATTCCAATAGAAATATAGTACACGTATTTTGTACTATTGGTTCCAAAAAAACTATCAGAGACATCTTTTCTCTTTTAGCATACTAAATCTAATATTTATCTTTGGAGGCATGGACCTGGAAAGTTTGTGGAACTATTTTCACAGCATCCAGTCCATCTTCATTATAGCCACAGAACTTCTTCACATGTCACCCTATCTTCCAACATAGGAAATAATGTGGACCACAATCTAATATATCTCATCATGTGAAATGCAGCACAACTGAGCATAGGCTTACACCAGCAAAGATATGGGATTACATCTCAATTTTCTGGAACTGGTTTTTGGAAAGACTGCTCAACCATATGAGGCAGCATACACTGAATACTAAATTGAATGCACACTCCTGTAAAATCAAAGCCAGTGCCTCAATGTACTCAGTGAAAGGGAGAAACACACATAGGCGTGCTTTGGGGGAGCTGGGATACCTCACAAGTGGAGCATATATCATTATTTGCTTAAGTAGTATTTGTAAGTGCAGAGGGCCTGCCTTACATAAAAATAGATTGTGCAGCCTTTATGGATTATTACTTCACTTGCCAAAAAATGTCCATGTGTCACTGTATCCACACCACGCTTCTCTTTCAAACCTCCCACAGTTACCAGAATGTCCACCAAACTGGAGGATTCTGCTGATCTTTCTCTAGCTAATTATGTCACTTGAAAATAGTAGTGTATCAGCCATTATGGTAAATTAAGGCATAACAAAGTATATCATTTGCTGCACCGTAATATTGTACATTCATTAAGACTATAAGACTATGAAATATATATATATTTCTTATATACATTCTCATTGAAATGGCTTTTCTGCATAATCTGATAAGCTGCCAGGAACTTATTTTAAATTTTTATTAATGTAAGTGACTTTACTGAGCATATGGATCTCAATAATGTCACCAATAAAACGTTGACAATACAGCATAAGTTGACTCAATCTTACTTCAATTTCTGCAAGCTTCATGGCTCATAAACAACATAATTTCAAAAGCACTCAAGCGCGTCTTAGAATTCCTGCATGTTTCTGCCTCCACTCATTCCTCCTCTCTCAACCCTGACTCCCCTTCCCCCTAATTGATTTGATTATGGAGCTGCCCCAAGTCCTCAGAGCTCTAATGATCTCAAACTCAGTTCTTTGTTCTCTTATTGCATTTTCATCTCCAACAGTGTCACAAACTGGTAAACATTTATGACTTCCCAGAATCCTCCAGCCTACAAAACCTTTGACAAACTTCAGGTCACTGTTGTCAAGTGAGATTTCTTACCTTTGGCAGAGATGCCCTGGAACCTGAACTCTGGGTGGTCATCGTTAAAACCGTGGTGATGCCCAGTGCGACCCTGGCAGGGGCTGCATCCATGTTTATCCAAAAGGAGACCCAGGACAAAATGACTATCAAGAGACTGGGGATGTACATCTGGATCAAATAATATCCCATCTGGCGTTCCAAGTGAAACTTAACCTCAATACAGGTAAACTTTCCTGGAAGGCAAGAAATGATTACTTAAAATCCAATTAGAATTTATCTTTCCTATTAGACTCACACTTGATTTAAAAAAAAATAAGAGTATTATAGATGGGTTTGGAATGTTTTACAAGGTTCTTACTCTACATAAGCAATTGAACTTCATTCCTACTTAACCAGTAATAGAAATGACAGTGGGAGAACGAGTGATCTAAAGAGTCACTGGACCAAAACCATGTGGGATTATTAATTTTCAAAACCTGTGCCTTTTTGCAACTTATTTTGATAGAGTTTCAGAATTTGCAAGACTGTCATAAGCTTACCAATGGAAATAAAATATTCACATTTGTGGGGTTATTATATATAGCGTATAATATATAACCCACAGAATATATGTATAGTATATAGTATATAGCATAAAATATATAATATGTGGCATGTAATATATAACATTTGAACCTTTCTCTCCAAAGTTGTCAAGTTCACATGGGCCTCCAAAAAAATTGAATAATTGTGTGTTTATTTTTGTGCTGTCAATAGCAAGAGAAAAATATGTATATATTTGTATCAGCCATGCATGTAATCTAGTCATTGTAAACATTTCCTAGCCTTTTGGGTAATTGCTTAAGATCACTTATAATATTCCTAGAATCTGTTTACAATGTGACACTTCCTATAAAAAGAGTACATATAAAGATATTAAAACTTTTGACATACTACTAAGAAATAGATGTTCCTTCTCCTTTCCACACTTCCCCTCTTTAATTGGCTTGACATTAGGGCTCCAGAAGGTAATTTGGCTTAGTTTAGGCAAATGATAAAAGGTAGGGTTGGACTCTGCTTTTTCAGGAAGAACAGTTTTAGTTACTTGAATAGAAAGCACTGTTGACTGCTAAAATAAGTTTTCCCGGGCCATTCTACTCAGCAAGGGACCTGGAGCAGTCACTGAACAAACTATCATGTCTCCATTGCCTACCTCTGATCAGCTTGTGTGGCATCAAAACTGGGACATGCATATGAAAAGCCATCAACTTGACTGGGCAGGCAAAATCTTCCCGGTAACCACAGATGCCCACTGTTGCTACTGACTCAAATTCTCCTCTCTCCCCTCTCCCCTGCCATGTGTCTGTCAGCACTACTGACAATGCAGGTCTTTAGAGCCAGCTGAATTCCTGCCAGCTGATTTTCATCCAAACTCCTATTATTGTTCAGTACTGGAGAGCACAGCAGCTGTGCTTCTGGGTTTACAACGACCTATGTTATTATTCTTCTCTTCTACTAAGACAGAGAGTGCAAATTGACTTGGGGGTCCCATGTCAAAAGTGGATGCCAGGAACTGGCCAGAATTTATACACTTCCTGCGCCACTTACAAGGTCCCATACACCTGTTCCCAGACTCATTTGACAGCAGATGGTCAGCAAGAGAACAGTAAAAGATTCCCTAATCTCTACTTATCTCTCTGTTTTGGAGAAATTTTCTGTTGTGCTCACTGACCTATTCCAGAGGGTATTGGTATCTTATCTTAGTGGAGGTGGAGGGGGGAAGGTGGAATCAAGTCTAGGCCCTTGCCTTGTAGCTCAGCGCCATTTTCTTGGTAAATATGCAGCAATTAAGGCGATGGGATCTATAACCCAAGCTGCAGATGGAGCCCACTTGGGTTTAGCAGCTGAAAGAAAACTTACCGGTGTTGTAGTGTTTTGTGCAGTAGCCGAGTTCCTTCTCTTCTTTTAAAATAAACTGAGGAAGGGTCAGTCCTTCAGCAACTTGTACCGGACCATCACTTAACCACTCAAATATTAGGTCATTCATCGTGTATCCAACTGAGATAAACAAATCACAGTGAAACACTGAATGCATCTTTCCAAGAAACCTTGAAAGGCTAGCCATGTAAAGAAACAAGAAAACTGTCTAAAGCAGACATGCTCAATCAGTTTAAGAGCATTTTTTAATAAAATAGCTGCAGTCATCATGACGAGTACATGTCATTGTAGCCAATAAAATTGAAGACAACAAGCTATTTCTGAATGATTTATTTCCATTTAATGAGAGAATGGAATCTAGAAAGTCCATTTTCTTCACTCAATTTTTCTGAAGAACAAACAAACAAACATAAAAACCCATTGGAGACCATCTTGACTTGAAAGAGCTCTGTCTGTGACAATCCAATAAGACAATGCAATTCATGGTGCTAGCCTTAGTATTTTGAATGAAATTAAGAAAATGAGAATGAATTCATCATAGGCCTAAAGCATTCCCATTGCAACCTGGCCCATCTCCTATGGCCTCTTAGCTTTGTTTTCAGAAAGCTTATGTTAAAGTTCTTATGGTTAATCCTTAGCTACTTTAGCATGAGGGGGAAACTAGAGAGAGGTAACCTAAGAAGAAGTTGCAGAATATGCAAATCAAGCATATTCATTTGTTCTAGTATCTTACTAAATGGATCCACTCATCACAAATGATTAATATGAAGTAAAACATTCTCTATATGTAATGTCATATCATTATGACTCTTGAACCATACAAAGTAAGATTGTTATCAGTTTGCTAAACCAAAGTTAGTTCTTAGTCTCCAAGTTCCTTGTTAACTAGTTTGTTATCTATAAAGTGCTCTGGATATTTTTGCACCCCAGAAATGAAGACTGCTCTTCTTTCAGATGTTATTTCTCTCTCCTCTCCCTTTGTGATATTTGAACACTAAACTTAGAGTGAGGAATACAAGGAATATTATGTGAAGTTTTGATTAACCAATAACCTCAGCATGTTTATTAAGTTTATAGATTCTTAGACTTTTTTACTATAGCTTAGTGACTCACCAAAGCTACTCAGAATCAATGTCCATATCAATTAGAATCTACTTTGCTCTTTCTTTGGACCACTTTTCCATTCAAAGCCAAAAATAATATGGAAAGTGAGGGATTACAAAACAAGAAATTGCAACAGAGAGAATGGCCAACCCTATTACAATGCTATATGAGTAGTTGGTTGTCTCCAACAAATAAAAGAAGATCATCAAACACCCCATATCCTTGTCTGGAGAGCTTATTGCTGGCCACCATGATAATAGTCTTGTCAGCCACCCTTCAGACCCAGCCTAGGGCAGACAGACTGGCTAAAGAGGTGGGGAAGGAGGAAATATTCAATAATGTAAGGGTAGAAAAGCGGAGAGTAATTTCTGTTCTTCATATTCAAAGTTAGTGGTAAACACATTACTTCTTTGATACCCTACCTCTAGGGCCTGCAAAGACCGACTTTATTTACTAATTGGAGTTTTTTTTTAAGCCTTGGAGGAGCCTCAAATGGCAACTCTGCATATTTATAGAGAATCTAAGTGTTGGGCTGAGGCAGGGGTGAGTTTGGAGCAGTAGAGAATATATGAAGAAGGAATCATTATATAAGAAAAAAAAGTATTTTCTTCCTTCTCAAGAAAAAGCGTTATAGGGGAGAAAAATACATAAAGTTTATTGTCAATCAAAAATTCTCATTTTACACCTGACAGCTTTTTTATATATACAAAAACATCGCATTATTTTGTTTATTTCTGTAGGAAGTTTCAAGGGAAATTAATGGTGATTTTAAATGATCAGAAGGACACCTGTCATTGACTCTTTAAAATAATAGTTGATATCTTTTTTATTATTTTTTATTATTTTTCTAAACCAAGAAGTTAAAAGTATTTCCTTACCCTTGTCTCATTAAATATTCTAACATCCCCATAGGTCAGTAGGACTTATTATTCTCTAGATTTTACAAACAGAGAAACTGTCAGAGCAAGCCAGAAAAAAATTCATGTCTCTTGACTGAACATACCATTACCTTGGTGGCATTAGCAGCTTATGGCATGTGTCAAAGATTTCAGTTACATCATGGCTGGGGCATAAAGGGGGGACTAAGTAGATAGCAATTCTCTACTTAATTCACCATGCTTTTGTGTGTCCACTGGCCATCTAAAGGAGATGCCCCTTGTCCCATATCACCTCAGGCCCCTCCGTTTTGCATCCTCCTCTGACTCTCTTGTATCTTGTCCTCAAATCAATAATCCCTCCCTGCCAAAACTCCTCTGGGGGTGATGGTCTATATGAGCATAAGATAGACATATCATTTTCTGATTAGAGAGCAATTCATTGTAGAGATTGAATGATGAATCATCTTAATTTTTTGAGGAGACATTTTCATTTCAAAAAATAGCTTCCTCAATTAGGCTTGTTTTTGAGGAAGGTGAGTTAATTGGCATTTTACTTTGAAAGATTGCCTATTAGGTATCAGACATGCGCACACACTCTTGCTTGCCCTTTCATTAGGACCTTGGGAGGTAGGTAGAGAAAGAGACTTATGGGTCTTTTCTCCTTAATTAATGACACACTAAAAGAACCAGGTTATTGATTAAAACAAGGAGGCAATCATTTCAACAGCAGTGACTTACAACTCTCCAGCTGCATTGTACATGTCTGGACATCCATTGGAAAGTTCTTCAAGTCCATGGGACAGGATAAGGTCAAAGTGAGCCTTAGTAAAAAAAAAAGTTATAGAGAATAAAAAAGTAAGTTTTGAATCTGTGAGGTCTGATTCTTGATAAACAAACCAAAAATACATTTGATATTAAAGCAAAGTGACTGATTCAAATAATGAAATCTAAGCTCGCATACAGGTCAATGCTTTTTATTTTTTAAATTTACCATTATAGGTAAACTTTAAAAATAATGTAGAGTTTTACTATAACCCCTTACTTTCTATCAATATTTCCCATCTTCCAACCTCTGACCCCTACCTCCCTAGTGGCACTGGTCACAAGTTTATTTTAGGATCAGCAAGAGCATTGAGAAATACTATAATGAGGACAATGGGTTCTCACCCATACTGCTGTCCAAAATACAGAAAGTTTATACTGATTTTAGATTATACTTTGGACAGGTGGACTATGCTTCAATGATAATAAATAATGTGATAAGCATATTTGGTTGTGATTGAGCATTGGTTCTCTTTCCATCAAATGAGCAAATTTAACTTGAATGTCTTTTCATTTGATAATCTATGTGGGTGGGTTAACCATATATTGCAGCATTCATTCTAGAATTTTGACAAATCTGGAGCATGTCATGCTTGAGCTGAAAGAAAAACATTGAAGGATAGTGGTTTGTACATAGTTTTTACATTTCTGCACCCAAGGGGCTACTCTGCTCCCTTTCCCCCTTTTCCTTAACTCTCCTGAGCTCTCAGCTAGCAATGATCAAGCCTTATATCATTGGGATATTCTTTGAGCCACCATTTCTTTTGCGCCATTTCATTCATTCATTCATTCATTTTCTTTAATCCTCACCTGAGAATATTTTTTTCCATTGATTTTTAGAGAAAATAGAAGAGAGAGAGACACACACACAGAGAGAAGAAAACATCGATATGAGAGAGAGACGTCGATTTGTTACCTCCTACATGCTCCTGACTAGGACTGGAAGTCCAGACTGCAACCAATGTATGTACCCTTGACCAGAATCAAACCTACAAGCTTTCAGTCCACAAGCCTATGCTCTGTCTACTGAGCCAAACCAGCTAGGGCTACCATTTTTATTTTTTTTAGTCCTCAGTGAGAAGGTGCTTACTTACTGCTCTTTAATTTTTCTACCTCAGTGATTCAAGAAGAAAATTAAGGTAGAGAATTAGCATATCTGAGTTCCCTTATCAGTATTTCTTCAAACTATCTCTGTCCCCTAAGAAAGATCTTAAACTTGATAAACATTCATCTCCTTATCAAATGATGGGATAGGATAAAATAATGTTTATTTCTATTTAACACCAATACTAGAATCCCTGTTATTCTGAAGTTCACTGCTCCAGTCCTGTTTATTTTCTCTAAGAACTCTTTTATATCTGTAGATGCCTTTGATTCTGGCACTACAACCGAAACTCTCCCTTGCTGGCATGCTCATTCTCACTCTCTCCTACTGGTCCTCTTTTCTTTCTCTCTTTCATTTTGTACATTCTAAATAATATGGAAAAAGTAGTGGCATATACTTCAAAGAAGGTAAAGATTTGGGATCTGAAGTGAGATTAGACAAAGAATCTATGCTGATAATCTTCAAACTAGTTAAAATACAACAGTGATTAGGAAAAGCAAGATACAAAACAGTGCAGTGTGACCTCAATTGAGTAAAAATATATTCTTATTCTTGGAGATAAGCACAACACTATATTAAGAGTAGATATTTTTGGTTTGTAGGATGATTCATGTTTTCTTTTTACTTTTTATTCTGCATTATCTATATTGACACATGTAGTTTATTTGAAGATGTCTTTTATATTAAATATGTCTTCAAACAATACCTGAAAGGTAAAATTATAAAATTCTGTCTTATTCAGTAACCTTCTGATACTGCTATTGCTATAATATTTTTTATTATTATTTAAATTTTGCCATAAACATACAGTATGTCACCTCCATTGCTAAATAAGTTACCTAGCTTCTGTGGGCTATTCTGAGAACACAAATACCATGTCTCTAAAGGGAAAAATAGAGTTTTGAGTTATCAACGACTGACAACATTTTAGACAGGAACAATAATTTTTGTCAGTCATGAATTTCATTTAGAGCTATAGATATTATATAGATATTTAAATTTTTTTCCATAGAAGACTTTATTTTTTAGAAAACACGGTTTTATTGAGATTAATGCCATGGACTCTTTTTAAATAACAGTAGAGTAAAAGGATCAAAATGAAAATCTCTAGCAATCAATTTTTAAAAAAAACTGACACTTTGTAAAGGGGTAAAAACCACAAAAGAATCTATGAGTTTTTAAAACTGTTATTAACTCAAGGAGAATCTATTTATTCTTTCCTATTTTTAAAAGAGGAAATACTTTCATCAAACAAAAGTATGTTCATTATACAAGAAATAATCTGTGAGCATGTACACAATTTAAGTGAATCAAACTCTGAAAAATCTATAAATTTCTTATGAGAAATTAGTAAGTAATAATAGTGGAAATAAGTACAGTTTTAAAAGCATGCAACGTGGAATTCAACTATATTTTGTTTGCTATTGGAAACAACCCAATTTTCATATTCCTAATCATAGGACTCTTGTGAGGTGAACTTTTCACATTTATTTAGGGAGCAGAAGCCACACCCAATTCTTTCTGCCTTTGTGGCAGATCTAACAATCCCATGGAGACTCAGAATTCTTGGGGTAAATTATTGCCAGCATGGAATACCCTATTGAGAGCAATTCCCAATAAGCATAAAACTGTCTCTGAATTTTGGCTCAGCTGAGAACTCCGTGGGTACTTCCCTTTCTCCTTATTTGTTTTCTAATTTCCTTTCTCCATGGGTGTAGTATTGGAACCCACTGGGTGCCAATAACAAGGAGGCAAGTTAACAGATCCATGGTTTGCTAAATCATGTAATCAAGTTGAGCAAATAGGAGGCAATTATAAATATCTAAATCAGTCCCTTCATAGGCTGCAGAGCCCATAGTTTATGATGTTTAGTTTACTATACATCTGCAGACCTGAAATGTGGGCCTGCCCTTTACTGTCTTTCTCTTCCTTTTTCATTGAAGTTACTATAAGACATGGTAAAATTATACAAATATTAAGTTGTACCATGATTACTTTTTATATCTCTATCCACCTATTTAACAAGCACCCAGATCCACTTTTACAATATTTTACTCACCCTAGAACATTCCCTTGTGCTCTCTTCCCAGTCAAGAACCTTCAAAAGTAACCACCGCTGCTTTTTTAAAAGCTATTCTTTTATTTAAAAGTAGTTTTGAGTAAAATGAGCTGAATATTTTGTACAGATGCAGAAGTTGCATCAAGTAAGATGGACACCTACAACATTACACTAAAATGTGAACAAATTTTATCTGCTTTATTCTAAATCTCCATTTATTTTTGGTGGGTCTCACAAAGCATATTAATTGAGATTCAGACTGTTTGCTGGCAAACACTGCCTACAGCATGTCAGATTTGCTCTCCTCTTTGTCATAATTTAAAATATTAAGGCCATTGCACCTGAGAGCAGCCAGCTGAGGCTGCCCATCTTCCACTTGATATCTGTTAAAGAACTCATTTCCTGAAGCATTATCACACATCTCCCCACTGTCATTGTGGCAAACATACAAGCTCTGGTTTGTAAAAGGGAAGGAATATAGTTTCCTTACAGAGAGGCCCTGCTTCTTTAACTGAGACTAAGAGGCTGAGCAAACATTTCAGTTTTAAAGGCAAGGGAATAAAACAATGCCTCCCAAAATTTCACTTCCCTTCCTTACTACTCTCCTATTCAGTGCACCTTGATCATAAAACCAATTCGTGGCTTTATACCTTGCTTAAAGTTTAAATGACTAATAGATGCAGACATTGTAAATCATTTCATTTCCTTTTAGTTTTTTTTAAAATCAAATATCATATTTTTATTGAGTTATTTGTCCCCTATTTATTCTCTGTCCCATATTTGTTCTTTACCGTCTAAAACAGTGGTTCGCACAGAGTAAGTAATCAATAAATATTTGTTTAACGAATGAATCAGTGTTCTAAAACTCTGCGGGAGAATTTCAGGCTTTTATCCTGCGGAAATGGGAATGGATTAGGGATTTAGGAGAGAGGAGCCTGGGCACCAGAGTCCATAGGGTGTTGCCAAATTACAAGATAGGCACAGGAAGCCAGCAAAACTTGCCTGGCCTCTTCTGTAAGTTGCTAACAGATTCCCACTAGAAATAAAGCAAATCAAGCTGAAGGAAAGCCAGAAAGCTCCGTCCACCTGTCTTTGAGCCTTGGTCAGGTGGCTGGGTCCATGGCCAGGACTGTTTTCACATTGCTAGACTGACTCAAATGAATTATTTAACTTTACAACATCATGGTGGACAGAGGTACCTTGATTCATAAAGGAACTTCTAGCTCATAAGAAACTTAGTAGTGTTAGAATTGAGAGTCCATTCCAAATGAAATGTTCTTGAGGAAACAAGAACATTTGAAGAGAAAAGCAATTTTCAGAAAGAAATACACATTTTAATGAGGGATCTGCTTGCCTGAAGCAAAGATTGCCAATGTACTATTTTGGGAGAGTTGATTCTAATGGTTACAGTAGTCTGTCTTATTTGGAAAATAATAACAATAGGGAGCTTCTGTGTTTTATTCAGGAAACGCAAGAGAGTCTTGAGTATATTGCTATTGTATCTTAGTTTGGGGACTGCTATAAACCCTCAGCAGTTTGTGGAAATCAAACGGGTTAGGACCCATGGTGCTCTTTTAGGATTAAAATAGTTAAGAAAATATTTAAAAAGTTATGATGATGATGATGATGATGATAGTATTAATAATTACAATCCTGCTCAAACACTCTTATTACTCTACAATTATGGAGTACCATCACACAAGGCAGATAGTACTCTCACGGTTTTTGAGATAAGCAAATTGAAGAGATTAGCCATTTCCCAATCTCACAAGTAAGTGAACAGAGTTAAATTTGAACCCAACTTTAAATGATGTCAAAGTTCATTTATTATTTTC